TCTGGTGTGCAATTCTTGTGGCTCAGTGTGTGTATGGCGATTTGCAGTTCACATGGTGTCGTATATGAGATATAGACTAGGTGGTGCAACTAGATCAACATCTCATGATTTTGGCGAGCGCGCTCGCAGACAACTGATATTCCTTGGTGCTGGAAGCACTCCGTGTTTTTCAACTGTCTTGAAGAGATATGTTGATGTGATTAGAAGACCAACTGTTTTTCATGTTTGTGATTTTCGTCTGCGCGCAGCGGTGCCCGCATGTGGCGATCGGGATTATGACAAAATGCATTTGTTAGATCAACGAGCGTGCACAGCTTTTTTTGTCGACGGGGATTGGGCGGGGGAGACGGTCGTTGCATGGCTGACGCGGTATCCATATCAAAAGTAAACGAACGTGCAGGGCCACTATGTAAATGCAGCGAGCGAAAGGTAGCGGAGGGCGCGGATTGATCTGGCCTCAGCAGTGGGAGGCGGGGTCGGTGCGAACACCGAGCGAATGTCTGAGAGCGTCAGCTCGTGCACGGGGCCACGCCCTGACGCCCCGGAGGATGCGGCCAGCGTGCGGAGGGGGCACGAGGCGGGTACGGGCTGGCATATCGAGCGGGCACTTGGAAGCAGCCGGCCAGCGCACGGAGCGGCCACGAGGCGGGCCCAGGCGGGCGCTGGGCGAAAAGCCTGACGAGCAGAGCCATGATTCAGAAACGAAGTACGGTAGGTCTGCGTCGTGTCGACCAGCGGCGACCCCAGCGCGGGCGTTCAAGGTTGAATGCCGGCGGAGGCCCAGAATCGGTCGATGTTGAACGATCGGACGTTGCGGCAGCGGCCGATCGTTCAAGGTTGAACGATCCCTGCGGTGTCAAAACCAACGCTGGGGTCGGCACGACACGAACCTGCCGTAAGAGCCCCTGAATGCAGGCGCCGTCTGGGGAATCTCTGTAATGCAGATCCTCGATGCAGGTGGAGACCCGAGGGCGCTGGTACGGCCGGATGGTGCTCACCACCAAGCAGCCCAACTTCGAGCCCGACGGCACCAGGGGTAGCGAAACGCAGTTCTCCTGTGCCAGCAGGGCAGCGAACTTCTCCTTCGCCTCCTCATCTTCTTCCTCGGCAGCGGTATCCTCTGACATCGTGGTAGGAGGGAAGACGGTCCTGCAAGGGGTCGGCGAAGCATGTGACAGGGCCGCAGGGATGTTTCATCGATTCGTCAAGACGATCGGAGTAGGGATCAGCATCGCATGTAGCGCATAGTTTAGACGCGCAATCTCTAAGTGGTTGAGAGATCAATCGGCATTTGGGTACGGAAAGCTGCCAACATCGGGTATCAAAGAAAGTCGTTCCCGTCAGAACATTCTGGAAGCTCCGCCATTTTTTAATCAACGGGCATCATACAGACATCTCTGCTGGCCCGATCATGTGCCCTGAAGCTTATCATTCTGATATGTTCTATCTCCAGCGTGAACTTTATGGAGGGGTAGATGACGAGCGGGTTCGGTTCAAAAGGGTTCTGTTCCATCCTGCCCGATCTATGGATAGGTCATGTCCAGATCACAGCTAGGAACCTCCAAGCGTGTGCCTCTTGGAAATGTCTGATCTGAAATACCTGAGAGGCCCGAAGAGGAGTGGGAGCAGGCGCAGGAGGAGGAAGAGGAGCAGGAGGAGGCGGAGGAGAAGGAGGAAGGACATCAATGTGCGCTCGAATGCCTTCCATGTCGAAGAGTGTCTCGTCGCCAGCGTAGAGCGTGTCCTTGACCGTAGCCTTCCCGTATCTTGTCCGCGGCCCAGAGCCGAACATCTGATCAGCTGCGCAGGCTTCGAGTACCCACGGCGAGACCGCGGAGACATCAGGCGGCTGACCGGGGCGGTCTCCCTCAGAGACGTCCTGCTGCCTGGCACGGAGGTGTCGCGCCTGGAGTGCGTGCACCTAGGTTACAAGTTCGAATCCAAGAACGTCGAGAATCCACTGAAGGCCCTGATGGTGAGCCAGAGGCTGGAGAAGGTGAGCGACGTGGAGAAACGAGACCGACTTTCCAGATTCGCGCGTAAGCTGCCCGCGTAAGGTCGCGCCCTCTTGTCCAAGTGGTGTGCCGCGCCAGCGGCCTGCCAAGGCCACCGCGTATAGTCGCCGCGTCTTCTCGCGTTTGACCACATCCTTTCGTCGCTCAGGTGTTCATCAAGCCCTCTGCGACGTGGAGCCTGCAGGTGGTGCAGCGGAAAAACTCAGCGGAGACCGCTGGCCGAAGCTACCTGCAGATGCTGCGCAGCGGCCCCCGTGAGTATATCCACTTTGACCCCAAGGAGCAGCTGAGGGAAACATGCCGATAACCGATACCACTTCCTCGTTTTCGCCCTTTTGGCCCCCTGGGGGGGCTCGCGTCGCCACGGCAGGATTCGCGTCGGAACTCTTGCCAGGATGCACCACGCACCACGAGGAAGGTCCGGAGCGTAGCGGTGTTGGCATCTTTCTGTTCCCATAGGAGCCTGGGTCCGTGGCCGCTATCGTCACCTGCGGCGGGCTGTGTCCTGGCTTGAACTCGGTGATCCGCGAGGTCGTGAAGTCGCTCCATGATTACGGCGTCGAGAAGGTCTATGGTATCATCGGTGGGTTCAAAGGCTGCATCGCTGACGACAAGTGGGTCGAGCTCACGGAGGAGTACGTGCAGAGTATCCACATGAAGGGCGGGAGCGTCCTGGTCAGCGACAGGGGTAATCCACCGCATTCGGAGATCGCGCAGGTTCTGAGGCGGCGCAACGTGCGTCAGTACTTCGTGCTCGGTGGCGACGGCACTCACAAAGGTGCCATGCAGAGTTTTGAGGCCATGACCGAGATAGGGCACGAGTGTGCTGTCGTGGGCGTCCCCAAAACGATCGACAACGACATCACCTTGCTTGACCAGACCTTTGGGTTTGATACCGCGTGTACCGAGGCGCGTAAAGCGATCGAGTCTGCTTATACCGAGGCCACGACGAACGCGAATTGCATCGGTCTGGTAAAGTTGATGGGGCGACACTGTGGCTGGATCGCTTCCACCGCTACGATTGCGGCGCAGACGGTTGACATCCAGCTACCTTCGGCAAGCCCCGCCACCGTACCAGCCCAGCAAATTTGGTGGCGGCCATCCAGAAGGGCGCACAGGAGGCCGTAGTGTATGGCACCTCGTGTCCCGATGCGTGGGGGCGTCGTAAGATGTGGCGCGCTCTTCAGCGTCGTGTCGGTGGTTCTCTTCTCGTCTTCGTCGCCTGTGCTTTTTTCCCCGTCCTTTCTTGGGCTCCTCTGGGCAGTCTTTGCGGTCCCTTGAGCCCCTTGGACCGTATTGGGGCCTTCTTGGGCCGTCTTGCGGCTCCCTTGGTCCGTCTTGGGGCCTTGGCCGTCTGGGGGTCTCGTGTGGCCGTCGTGGGACGTCCAGGTCTCTCAAACATCGATGATCTTGGAATGTTCGGGCTCTGCTGGGGGTCCTCTTGTGGCTCTCTTTGGACATCTTCGGCCGTCTTGAGCCATCTTTGGCCGCCGTGGGGTATCTTGGGTCGTCGTGGAGGCATCCTTGGGCCACCTCGGCTGTCCTGGTAGCTCGGGAGCGCGGATCCACAGTTTTGTACAAGATACGGTAGAGGGAAACAATTAATGACCCCCCCCTGCCCCCCAAAGTCAAAGTTGGCACGCTCGGGGGAGACTGCGGTCGAGGTGCAACTCCTCAGACCCACCGCCAACTTTGAACATTGGGGGGAGGGGGAGGCGTTCACAGATGAACGTGGTATGAGTGTTCGCTATTTTTTCCGAGGCCTGTACCGTGGCCTCAGGAGCGCGAATCCAGAGTTTTCTGCCAGGGATCGTGGCCCCCAAGGAGCGTGGTGCCATGGTTTCTATCACGAGGAAGCGTGGCCTCGGGAGTGCGGATCCATAGCTCTCGACACGGGACCGTGGTCTCGGGAGCGCGGGCCCACAGGGGTGTCGTTGCGAGGGATCGTGGCCTCGGCAGCGCAAATCCATATCTTTTTTTCTCGAGGGATCGTTGCCTCGGGAGCCCGGGTCCCTGGTTCTCTTCCGAGGGATCAGCGGCCCTGCTGCCGCAGATCCGATGTTTCTTTGGGAAGGGGCGGGGGGCATGCAACTGGGCGCTGTCCGTGGATGAGTCGTCCCTGAGAGGATCACGGGAAGCCTACCGGACGGCCCTTGGCATTACACCATCCCTTAACGTGCCAGGGGGCACGGTGGCGGATTTGCCTCATCCCAGAGATGAGCATCTCAATGCCCAAGCTGTTAGACCACGTGACCAAGATCATGAAGAAGAAAAAGTATGCTGTGATTGTTGTGGCTGAGGGCTGTGGAGACACCATCATCGCTAGCGACGCTGGCACCGATGCAGGCGGGAACAAACTGCTTGCCGACGTCGGCGTTTTTCTGAAGGAAGAGATAACCAGCCATTGCAAAAGAGAGGGCATGCCGATCACGATCAAGTACATCGACCCGACGTATATGATCCGGTCGGTGCCCGCGAATGCCTACGACTCGCTTTTCTGCTCCGTGCTGGCGCAGCAGGCGGTGCACGCCGCCATGGCGGGGTACACGGGCATCACGGTTGGAAAGGTGGACGAGCGGTATGTTATGTTGCCAGTCCACTCGATTGTCGACAAGGGCGCTCGTGTGGTCAACAAGAGTGGTGCCACCTACGAGCGGCTTATCACCACAACGGGTCAGCCCGATTTTGCACCCTGAGCCGGGATGCTCCAGAGCCATCTCGACCCTTGTTGCACCCCAAGTGATCTCGGCCCAAGGTGTCCCCTGCTTTTCCAGGGATGCCCCGATAGCCTCCAGAGCAGTTCCTTTCGAGGCCCAGGTGAATGACCCCACGGGCTGCAACATGCTGCGAAGAGCTGGGGGCACCTTGGGCCAATATCACCTCGTCCAACCTCCGAACCAGGGTCGTTAGGATGGCCCGACGTCGGGAACGGCCGCTTCTACGAAGCCTAGAGCAGCCTGGACGTGTTTTTTCTGTATCTAGTTCGGCACTTGCCGGGGAGCCGCTGCCGAGGAGGGGGCGCATTTGCGCGCCCTCTCCGCACGACCGGCACCGCGCGCCTCGCGCTGCTGCTCGCTGCTGTGGCCGGCACCCGCCCTCATTGCGGCAGCTCGTATACCCCTCTCCTCGGGTGCTCGGCAGCGGGCGGGCAGTCATCGAGGGTGCACCGAGGGCTGCAGGACAGCTGCCCCGAAGGGGGCCCGGGACGGCCTCCAAGCCTGCCACCGCGGGCCCCAACGCTGCCGGCAAGGTGCGCGAGTGCCCCCCCGCCGTTTCCGGTGGAGGCCCGTGCTAAGAAGCACGCTGCTTGCCTCCAGGGTGCCCCGGGTTTCTTGGGCCTCGACGGCTTTTGCGATGGAAGGCGTGGTGTTCCCACGCCCCCAAAAAAAACACCGGGCGTCCTGGGGTCCCAGGGTTTACCGGCCTGGAGCATATCCCTATCCCCATGCTGGGCACCTCCTCATCACGATGCCAATCTCCGGGATCCCCTTATTCTTTGAGGGCGACTCCCTAAGATTGTCATCGCCTTTTGGCGTGTCCATCCTAGGGATAGGGATACATTCGAGGCTGGTAAAGGGTTGCGTTTCCCGTGGACGGCTTCCCGTGGCCGGGCCCCCGCGCTGCTCTCCGCCCCGCTGGCGAGCAGCCGACCTCCTGCGGCCGCCTCCGGCCCTCTCGCGGCCCCCTCCGGGCGCCGCCCGGCGTGTGCCGCGGACGCTCCGCGCCCCCCGCCGGGGAGGGTCGCTCCGCCTTCCCAGTAGTGGCCGCCGCGGAGGCGGCGGGCTCTCCCCGCCTCGCCGTCCGCGCCCCGCGAGCGCCGTGGCCGCGCGAGCCTCCCCGCCCGAAGTGCGTGGCGCGATGCCGCGTCGGGGGTGGGGGCAAACCACCGGGACGGCCGCCTCCTCCCACCCTGCCCGCCGCCGCCGCGCCACGGCCGCCTCCTCTCTCCTCCTGCCCTCCCCCTCCCTCCTCCCTCCTCCTGCCTCTGCCCTCCTCCGCCGCTTCCTCTTTCTCTTTTCTCCTCCTCTCCTCCTCCTCCTCCTCCTCCTCCTCCTCCTCCTCCTCCTCCTCCCCTCCTCCTCCCCCTCCCCGTGATCCCTCCTTCATCCTTTCTCCTTCCTCCTCCCTCCGCCTCCTCCGCCTGACTGCTGACTGAAGGCATCGGAATCCCCTAGGACGCTGTCATCCTTCCTCCTTCTCCTCCTCCTCCGCCTCCTCCTCCTCTTATCGCTGCCTCATCCTCCTCCTTTTCCCTCTCCTCCGCTTCCCCTCTTCCTCTCCTCTTCTGCCCCCTCCTCCTTCCACCTCCTCCTTCCTCTCCTCTCTCCTCCCCGTCTTCTGCGGTCTTCCTCCTCCATCCTCGCTGGCTCGACCGGAAAGGGAATCAAACACATGCCAGGAGTGACCAGAAACATGTGGACGGGCATTGAATTCATTCTCTCCTGTCTTTCCTTCTCCCTCCCGCCCTCTTCCCTTCCTCCCTCCTCCCACCTTCCCTCCCTTTTCCTTCTCCTCCTCCTCCTCCTCCTCCCTAGAGGTGCAGACCTGCGCGTTCTGGTAGTTGGGGGGCACCGCGTAGGTTCTGGTGGAACACCTTCGGGGCGAGGCCCTCGCAGAAGCTTCCTGGAGGCCCAGGCGATCAAGAATCCCGAACATCCTCCACCCACCATATTTTGAAATTGACAGAGCAATCGAACAACCCGAACGCTCCGAACACTGATTACTGACAATTCTAACAATACAGTTCTTCGAACAAACAACAACAATTCCATTGGCAAGGGAGTCCGCAACCCAGGCGACCAGGAATCCCAAACCCTTCCGACCCAACAGATCCCACCAGCCCGCTGGGCGCAGGTGGTCTAGAGCGTTTCCTTTTCCAACCTCCTTCCTTTCCCTGCTCGGGAGGTTTACCTCCCCCCCCTCCCTGCGTCTGGCCGGGCTTCCCCGCGAGGTGTCAGAAGGCCTTTTTCGGCCCAAGATGGCTCCAAGAGGGCTTCAGAGAGTGCGAGATGGCCTCCAAGATGGCTCAAGATAGCGGTAGATGGCTCAATATAGCCTCCGACACGCATCCAAGAGGCCTCAAGACGGCCCCAAGACGGTTTCAAGTGCCCGCCGAGCCCTCCGAGGACTCCCCCAAGAGGCCAAAATCTTTCAAAAACCTGAGGAACATCAATATGTTTGGCCTTCTCGCTTTTTCGCCTCCGATGGGCTCTTGAGGCCTCAAGATGGCCCCAAGAAGGCCCAATGTAGTCCCACGAGGGGCACAAGAGGGCCCCAAGACGGCCCCAAGAGCGCCCAAGAGCGCTTCAAGAGCGCTTCAAGAGCGGCCCAAGAGGGCCCCAAGACGGTATGTTTGAGCCTAGCCCCACATCTTTCTTAGCGAAAGGGTCCAACGCGGCCCCAAGAGGCCCCTCAGGCATCCCAACAGAGCCCCAAGAAGTCCCTGAAATTGTACACGTGAAATGTGTTGGACGCAGGCGCTAGGATGTACATGCGTTGTGGTGCGCACATGATGCTGCAGCAGCTGCTGTGGTGCACACATAGCTTTATGGTTGACGCAGGCACCGTAGTGTACGCAGTTGCTGCTGCAGCAGCAATTGCGGTGTACAAACCTGTTGGTGTGCACGCAGTTGCAGTTGTATGTGCAGGTGTTGTGATGCACCAGCGATAAGTTGTGCACAGACACTGTGGCGTGCACAAAGCCTGTGGTGTGCGCAGGCGCTGTGGTGCACCAGTTGCTGCAGCAGCAGAAGCTATGGTGGACGTGGGCATTGGCATAAACGCGCAAAGTCGTGCACACAAGCATCGCGGTGTGCACAAGCACTCCTGCGCATACCGGCCCTGCCCCCCCCCCCCCCCAGGGGCAGATCACCCATCCCCGTCGCGCTCGAGGGCGGCGACGCACAAGGGGGGTGGAGATGACCTGCGTGCCCGGGCGTGCGCCGCGTTGTCGCCCCCTGGGGTGTTGGCCGTAGGGATGAAGGCATCTGCGTGTGGTAACCCGGGTCTGTCTGTGAGCTCGGAAGCTGGATGGTCTGCGTATCCTCTGTCCAGCTGGGGACCTCGCGTGGAAGGCAGGCTCGTGGGGTGCCCGTCTCTTCAGGGGCGGCTCCCACGGTGAGAGTGAATTCTTCCATGGTCTTATGAGGAGTGGGTCTGGGACGCGAGGGTACACTGCAGTATCCTTGATGCATCCTGGGTTTCATGTGGCCCTCCGCCTGCTCCTCCCTTCTCCTCGTCCCCCCTCTTGTCGTCCCCCTCCCCTTCCCCCCTTTGCCCCGCAGTCTTCGTTGGCGTCCTCCTCCTCCTCCTCCTCCTCCTCCTCGATTTCCGCCCGTTCTCCTCCCACTGCCTGACCCGCGGGAACCCCTTCTATGGCAGGCCAAAAAATCAAGGGCCAGCAACTCGCGGTCCGTGCCTCTCGCGTTCTCTGAAAGCGTTGCGCCTGCTACGCTGCAGCGCAGTGGCTGGCCCTCAAGAAGATGTCCCCAAGTTTCCGACCGTATCTCGCCCGCTCCCCCCTCGCGCCCCCTGAGATTCGACGACGCGATAGAGATGCAACTTGGTGAGACATCACGCGCAGAGCCCTAGACCTTTTCGCGCCGGATCGGTCTGTGAGGGTCCTGGGGCCCGAAACCAGGCGAGAACGCCGACTGTGAAACAATGGCAACGCCAAGATCTTTGGGCCTTCCCCTCCCCCCATGGCCCCGAGGCATGCGGGCTCTGGGCGCCCCAGGGCAAGGCAGCCTGCGCCTGCTTCGGGCGGGTGCTGAGGAGGGGCGACCTCGCCGCGGGGGGAAGCACGGGGGGACCTCAAGGGGCCCTTCCGGGCTCCCCTCTCGGAGCCGGGAGGGGTCCAGGAGGCCCCCCCCCCCAGAGGGCTCCTTCGGGGCCCCCCTCTCCGCCCCCCCTCTGGCAGGCTGCCCCCCCCTCCTGAACACCCGCCCGCCTGCCGCGCGGCCCCCCCCGCGGCCCTCCGGCGCGCGCCTGCCCGCGGGCTCCGGCACCCCCGCGCCTCGGCCTCTGCCCCGGTGGGCGGGGGCGGCAGCTGGGCGGCCTCGCGCTCTCGGGCGCCCTCCGCTCCAGAGCCCCTCGCGACGCAGCAGATGCGGGTCCCAAGAATATGCACCACCACCACGTCGATTCCTCCACCTTCCTCCTCTCCTTCTTCCTGGGGGACTGGGGGAGGGAGGGGATGAAGGAGGTGGCGGTGGTGTGTATACCGTTGGGCCCCGCAGCCGACATCGCGGCGGACAAGCATCGAGGTGGAGGTGCTTCCTCGTTTTCGGCTCCCTCGGGCCCTTACCGGGCCCTGGGGCCGCCAGGAAACGATTCGGGACGGGCCCCCCCAGGGGCCGCGCACCTGCCTCTGGCCATGGTGCCATGCTCTGCGCTCCTCCCCCTCGTGGACGCACCCCTCGCGGCCGCCCCCGAAGCAGAAATCACGACCGACGGTCTTTGGACGCTTTCGGCCTCCAGGGGCCCTCGCTGGGCCCGGAGGCCGTCGGAAAACGAGTCGGGCCCAGGGAGGGGGTCCAGACCTCTGGGGGTCCACGTCGTGAACAACCTCGCGACGTCTGGGGCTTGGGCCTCGGGAAGCAGAAGTAAGATCAATGACACGCCGCCGCGGGGGACCCATCAGCGCGATACTGCTGACATCAGATGGTGATTTGCCCGCACCGCTGTCGCTCCCGTGCAGAACCAAGTCCTACCACGCACCTCCTCGTCATGCAGCCTGACCGCTGCGGATCACACCACGTGTAGCTCGTCATGGCTTGGCTCCCGCTGGGGAGCGAGGGTGGTCAACAGGGAGGAAGGCTCGCTTGTCCTGCATGAAGGCACACCGTGCTTCTGGACAGGCGCAGAGGAGTAACACGCCGACGGGCTCTCAACCGGCGTGTCGTTGATACTCCTTTTCCCTCCCGATCCTCGGCGGGGCGGGCATCGCCTCGCGGCGAGCGATGGCGGGCGCGGCCAACGGCAAGGTCGGGTGCGGGGGGTGACACATACATCCACCGCATCCTTTGACAACAACAACAGCAACAACAACAGCAACAGCAACAGCAACAGGAGCAGCAACATCATCAACAACAACAGCAACAATCATTTTACCCTCATGCGCGATGCTTACAGACGAAGCATGCGACCATCATGATAACCATCCCCATCATTGGGGACTCTTGTTCTATAGCGGGGTCCTTTATTCCCATTCCCAGATCTCCCGCCCAATGAGGTCTTGTAAACACCTCCTCCGAATCATTTCAACATATCCCGCCTCGAAAACGCATGCCCGCTCCTTGCTGCGCCGATGCGAGACCGCCAGTGGAGCCCCAGCCAAGGGTAAAGCACAAGGAAGTATCGAGCGACATGATTGCCTTGGTGGAGATGGGGGCTGTCGGCGGCCAGGCAAGGACCTGGCCCTGAATAGAAAGGGAGGAAGTCTCGAGCAGGGCCGCTGTTGTTGCTGGGAGCGGCGCAAATGCTGGAGAGAGTAGGGCGGTAGTACAGCGTAAAACAAAACGAAGTCTCGAGCTGGAACGCTGGTTTTGTTGGGACGGCGGTTGTCGGCGGCAAGGAGGAACACGCCTTGAGTAAGAAGGGAGGGAGTCTCGAGCGGGAGCCGTGGTTTTGTCGGGACGGGGGATGTCGGCGTCGAGGAGGAGCACCGTCCGGAGGAAAAAAGGAGGAATTCTCGAGCGGGAGCGTTGTTCTTGCTGGGAGCGGCGCCAATTCAAAAGAGAGTAGGGCGCCAGTCCAGCGTAAAACGGGAGGACGTCTCGGACGGGAGCGCTGGTTTTGTCGGGACGGCGGTTTTCGGCGACGAGGAGGAGCACCGCCTTGAGTAAAACAGGGAGGACAACTCGAGCGGGAGCGTTGTTGTTGCTGGGGGCGGCGCCGATGAGAGAAAGAGTAGCGCGCCAGTCCAAGGTAGAGAGGGAGGACGTCTCGAGCGGTAGCGCTGGTATTGTTGGAACGGCAGTTTTCGGCGGCGAGGAAGAGCAACGTCCTGAGGAAAAAGGGAGGAATTCTCGAGCGGGAGCGTTGTTCTTGCTGGGAGCGGCGCCAATTCAAAAGAGAGTAGGGCGCCAGTCCAGCGTAAAACGGGAGGAAGTCTCGGACGGGAGCGCTGGTTTTGTCGGGACGGCGGTTTTCGGCGACGAGGAGGAGCACCGCCTTGAGTAAAACAGGGAGGACAACTCGAGCGGGAGCGTTGTTGTTGCTGGGGGCGGCGCCGATGAGAGAAAGAGTAGCGCGCCAGTCCAAGGTAAACGGGAGGAAGTCTCGAGCATTAGCGCTGGTTTTGTTGGGACGGTGGCTTTCGGCGGCGAGCAAAAGCACCGGCCCTGAGTGAAAAAGGAGGAAGTTTCGGGCTGAAACGTTGTTGTTGTTGTTGTTGTTGTTGGTGGTGTTGGTGTTGTTGGTGTTGGTGTTGGTGTTGGTGTTGGTGTTGGTGTTGGTGTTGGTGTTGGTATTGGTTGTTGTTGTTGTTGTTGTTGTTGTTGTTGTTGTTGTTGTTGTTGTTCCCGCGCCTTGTTTCCGCACCAGTCTCCGCTCGTATCCACCTGCCCCCTCTTCAACGTTCTTTCCCAGTCTTCTCTATCCTTTTCCCTTTATCTTCATTTTCATGTCGTTCGTACTCCATTGTGCTATTCCTCAGTTCTTCGCGTTCCACCCACTTCTCCCCAGGCCACCCCATCCCACACCAACAATCTCCACCCCTTCCCGCTCGTCTTCCGCATTTCTCAGCGTGTCCCCGGTTCCGTTTCGGTTCGGGGGAATTGGTTCGGTTCAGTACGGCTCCGGTTTCGGAGCTGTTTGAGGCGGTTCCCATTCAGAGGGCGGTTCCGTTTCAGCTGGTTCCAGTTCGGTTCTCGGTTCTTGCAGATGACGTGTGCGCGTGTGCGTCTACATGATCATATGAAGGCGTTTGGAGGTTCAGTTCAACCAGGAGTCAGGAGGAACCCTGGGGCCAGGGTGGCCACTGGGCCCAGCTACCCGACGAGCCAGGGGAACCACTGGGCCCAGACGTTACGCATGGTACCCTCGACGGACCAGTCGACAGCATCGTGCCCCCTGGACCAGGGGGTTCTGGCGACGGCGGGCGATTCCTCAGCGCCAGGATAGAAAACGCTTGGACTACGGTCTGGGACAGTGCGGACCACTCACTCCTGGCATGGGTCATCCCACAGGACAACTGGGAAGGCAAGGGCGCCGCCCGCGCCCTCGCTGGGCGCGCGCAGGATGGTGGGGGCCCAGCCCCGGCCGCCGCCCCCAGTTCGGCCCTGGAGGCCCCGAGGGCCCCTGGAAGCCCAAAGCGCAGCTCCGAAAACCACTTGGAGGCCCAAAGCGCATTTTCGAACCGTCCAAAAATGCGATTTGAGCTTTTCCGTCGCCCCGCCCTCCCCAGAGCAGCCTTGGAGGCTCCGAAAACCACTTGGGGGCCCAAAACGCATTTTCGAACCGTCCAAAAATTCGATTTGGGCTTTTCCGCCGGCAGCCTTGGAGGCTCCGAAAAACCACCTGGCGGCCCCAAACGCATGTTCGAACCGTCCAAAAATGCGATTTGCGCTTTTCCGCCGCCCTGCCGTCCCCAGTTCGGCCCTGGACAAGAAGCAAAACAGGACGATGGGAGCTCGGGGGCGCAGGGGAGGAGTTGGGAGCGGGCGGGATGGACCTAGCGCAAGAGTGGGCGCTCGCATCGGGCAGTTCCCAAGGGTCCACCTCCACGACCGGTTCCCGGTTCGGGCCCAACTCGGTTCCACCGCCTCCGGTTCGGTTTGGTTTCGGTTCACGTCGGGTTTCTGACGGGTTTCGGTTCCGTCGGTTCTCTTTCGGTCGGTTCGGTTCTGCGGTTCATTGATTTCTCCCAAATTATTCCCAGTCTCTCCTCCAGATTCCTCCGTGCGCCCCCCGCTCCTCCGCGTTCGTCCCGGTTTCTCTTCTCCACTCCTTGCCGCTCCTCCTCCTGGGACCCTACTCATGTCCACTCCAGCCCAATCCATTCCACATCCCCGCGCTCCTCCCGACACGGTTGCAGTTCTCACTATGCTTCCGCCCCGCTCTCCCAACATCCCGCTTCTTTTCAGGGTTCCACGAAATTTGTTTCTGACACCAGTTCGCAGCTGTGCGTCCCCCCGTGGGGGTATCCACGATATGTTCTTTCAAGGGGGTGGTGCGTGGCGCTGTTTATGGCGCGACCCATGGCGAAACTTATTGTTCACCTGTGTTGGAGTGGCAGGCGCAAACCATGGCGCAAGCTGAATCGCCACTCGCAGCGCAAATCGTTGTCCTCCCTCCTTTTTGCTCCTCCCTTCCCTTCCTCCGATCCCCTCGTCCTCATTCTCCCCCGTTATCTGTTACCCTTCGTTTTCAAGGGCTCCACCAACCACACTTGGCAGGGAATGAATCTACCCCCCAAGAGGGGGCGCGATCGAAGACGAAGAGGGAGAGCGTCCCAGGGTTGGGCTGTGCATATTGAATGACGCGCGAGCAGAAGAAAGCGAACAGTCTTAAACTGATTGCTTCTGTTGTTGTTATTGACTTTTCACTTCTGAAGAGTCCCCCCCGTCCAGTGCACGTTGTTTTTTCGATTGAAGTGCCCTTCCCCGGGCTCGCGCCCTGCTTTTCATCAGGGAAAGTCTTGAGGTTCAAACTGTGTCGTTGGCCCCCGATTTACAACGACAGCGGCTCCCGCCGGAGGCTTCCTCACAATTTAGCCAGGACCCCCGCTCCCGCCCGAGACTTCCTCGCGTTTTATTCACGAGTCGCGCTCTCGTTTGGGACTTCCTTACAATGTATTCTCCCGGCGCTCTGGAGTCGCGCTTTCGCTGGACACTTGCTTGCAATCTACTGAAGAATAGCGCCCTTGCGTGGGAATTTCTTGCAATTTACTCAAGCGCCGCGCTCCCGACACCCAGGCACCCAGGAGTCGCGCTCACGCTTAGGACTCTTGCACAGATTACCTAGGAATCGGGATCTCGCTGCCCTTCGTGGCCCCGTTGAAGCCCTTCGTGGCCCCCTCGCTTTGTTTCGTGGTCCCGTTTCAGCCCTTCGTGGCCCCCTCGCTGCCCGTCGTGGCCCCGTTGCAGCCCCTCGTGGCCTCATCGCAGCCCTTCGTGGCCCCGGTGCAGTCCTTCGTGGCCCCTCGCTTTGTTTCGTGGCCCCGTTGCAGCCCTTCGTGGCCCCGTTGCAGCCCTTCGTGGTCCCGTCGCATCCCTTCGTGGCCCCGTTGCAGCCCTTCGTGGCCCCGTCGCTGCCCGTCGTGGCCCCGTTGCATCCCTTCGTGACCCCATCGCTGCCCTTCGTGGCTTCATATATGTATGCCCTTCGTGGCCCCCGCTTGCTCGCGCCCGTGGTGGCCCCATATGCATCTGCCCTACGTGGCCCAGTTGCTACCCCCGGTGGCCCCATCGTTGCCTTCTGTGGCCCCGCACTATCTGCCCTCAGTGGCCCCCGCTCCTTCGCGCTCTTCGTGGCCTCATACGCATTCTCTTCGTGTCCCCGCTGTTGCCCTTCGTGGCCTACTTCGTGTCCTTGTGGCCCTGCTGTCGTTCTCTTTCGCTCTCGCTTTCGCTCGTCGTCGTCGTCGTCGCCGTCGCCGTCGCCGTCGCCGTCGCCGTCGCCGTCGCCGTTGCCGTCGTCGTCGTCGTCGTCGTCGTCGTCGTCGTCGTCGCCGTCGTCGTCGTGGTCGGTCCCCTGTCCGTCCTTCTTAGGGTCGGGTCTACGGTCCGCGGCCGCCCCGCCGATCAGCGCTGCCGCTGGGGCCGCCCCGCCGCTTGCCGGGGCCCGGCTTGCAGGGAAGAGAGGTATTACCCCCAAAGGGGGTTCGTATCGAGCGTTTGGGAAATAGGCGTTATTGGACAATCAAGCAGATAAGGGCGAACAGTCTTAAACTGATTGTTGTTGTTGTGTGTGTGTGTGTGTGTGTGTGTGCTGCTGTTGTTGTTGTTGTTGTTGTTGTTGTCGTCGTTGTTGTTGTTGTTGT